AAGTTTGTTTGTTTTATTTTCTTATAAGCCTCTTAATGGATCTGGATATATCTGAATGAATCAGATCTGTAACACACGCTAACACTATTCATACTAAAAAAATAAGACTCCTATCTTAATTCAACTAAATCACAACAACTCATAAAAGTTATTTTCTTATTTGATTAATATTTAACTACGATAATAATTTCCTTTATTCATATTAACTTAATATACATCTTTTACTTTCATAAATTAGTCAATATATTTGAATTGATAAGCACTCACATGATATAATATTTGGCACAGTATCAAAAATAAGAAAGTATTAGTTATTTGATCGATAACAATAATAAATTTCTACAATAAAATAAAATAAAATATTTTCCTAAACTATATATTTACTACTCTATATAAACTATTTTAAATTGCATTATATTAGATTCTCAAAGTATTTGAGTGCAAAAAATAATCATACTAATGATGTAACTTGATGTTGAGTTCTTAAAAGATAAATTATATTACCTTGTTACGGCAAAAAAAAATTCAAAATATTATTTTATATGAAAAAAATATATTTTACTAACAAGGTTTTGATAATATTTTATTGATAAACGTTTAATTTCATATGTGCATTCATATATTGAAAACAAACTGTCCTAATAATTTAGTGTTCAGATTCAGAGACAATATTTTAATATTCAGATTTACACATCTAAATCTTGATGCACATCTTAATATTTAAATGTGTATTCAAATTCAGACGTCTTAATCTTAATAGAAACAACGGAGAAGGGTTAAAAATACCCTCAACGTATTCCAAATGGTTCAAAAATGCCCTCCTTCCATCTATTAGTTTAAAAATGCCCTTAACGTTTTTTTAAGGTTTAAAATTGCCCTTTTTTAACAGCCTGCTGACATGGCAAATGATGAATCATTAAATTAGACAAATGACTTCATCTTGTTGGTCCACCTAAATTTTCATAATCCAGCCCAACGACCCGACCCATCTATGTAAAAACTCAAACCCACCCACTAACCC